ATGCAGCAGCAGTGCTGCAGTGGGAGGTCACCCTTCCCCACAGCCCACAGCCCCCCACCCGTGCCCCAAGCCCCCCAGTTGGGGGGCGACTGAGGCACCTCCTCTTGGAAGCGGTTTTGGGTTTGTGCCGGACGCTTGCTGGAAGCTGTTTGAAGCTCTGGAAAGAAAAACGATTCCTCCTCCTTCCCTTCCTCCCTGCCCAGAAATAGGTCACTTAATTACCCCCTTTCCAACCCCAAACACCACTGACTCAGGACAGGAGGGGGAGCTCCCTCACCCCGTGCCGGCTCATGCCCGGCAGTGTCCCAAAGCCACCATGCACGGCTTTGACCTTGAGCCACCACACCGGCAGGACCTGGGCGCCAGGGCACGGCCAACACAGATGGCAGGGACTCAGCTCCCCCGCTCTGGACTCCAATCAGCACTGATCAATTAACGAGAGGATGGTCAGGGCCGTGGGTGCTGCCTGACCCCCTCCACGAGTGGCCACGGGCACGGCCGCATGCCGCCTCCAGGAAAACCACCGGCTAATTGCACGTTGGGAAATCATACGTGTCCTGCTCGGCACGGAGCGAAACGTGCGGCCCTGGCGCAGTCTGGTCCGGCTGCTCCGGGATGGGACACCACGGTGGCCCCTGGGTGGTGGCCGGAGCCTGATACATCTCGGCATCACCCCGCCCTTCCACCCCATCCTCACCGCCCGCACCAAGACACCCGCCCGGCACCGCTCCCGCCAGTTTGGGCTTCGCTTTCGGCAACCCGGGAGCAGCAGCACCACATGCTCGCTCCCCTGGGCACCGGAGTGGCTGTTTAAAGTCCCACTGGGTGCCACGACAGCACCCAGCCTCAGGAACAGGCCCCAGCAGCTGCTTTGGCATCCCAGCACTCAACCACAACCTGACGTCTCGCTGCAACCAGGCCCCTCCAGGTGACAAGGAAGGAGGCAGCGAGGAGCCCCACAACCGCTGCACGCACCTCATCTCACCACCCCCTTTCATACAGGGCTCACCTACAGCTCAGGGAAGCAGTCAGGGAGTCAGGGAGCAGTTGCTGCGCGCCCCCAGCCTCGCCGTGACCCACACAAAAACAGGCTGAGTTTCCCCAAAAACTCCTCCTGTGCAGCCCAGTGGTCCTGCTTCCCCATCTTTTTAGCCCCCATTTAAGAGAAAGCAAACATAGAGCCCACCCCCCTCGCCCAAAATAAATCACTCCAAATTTATTTCCTGCGTATTTAACAAACCCTTGCTCCAAGTGGGCACTTTTTAAAGGATTTTTTAAAGGATGCAGGCTCTTGTCTGTTTTGTAAGTGGTGAGGACCTACAGCAGGGAGACATCGAGAGTGAGGGGAAAGGAAAAATTAAAGAGGAACCACAAGCAAAGCAAAGTGGAGTGTGAGATGCAAACCGACAGATCCGGGGAGGCAGAGCTGCTGGCAGGCAGACGGCAAGATCCATCTTGAAAGCAAAAGCAAACTGCTGCTCACACAGGCAGAGGGAAAAACCTAGAGGTCTTCAGCACTGCCTGAGCTCTGATCAAACAAAGTGATTAACAAATTTCAGCTCTTCATTGAAAGCTTCCCTAATTAGGGGAAAAAAAGGAAAAGGAAAAAAACAAAGCCAAACCCCTGAGAGGTGCATCAGGTGGTGCATCGGAGGGGGAGGTGGGGGGTGATGCACCCCACAGTCCTGCCAGCACGGGGAGGGTGAGTGTGGCCGGGGGCACCCGGTGCCTGCCCCATGGCACCAGCACAGCCGCGGGTTTCCGTGCCTCCCCAGCCTTCCTCCTCCTCCTCCTCCTCCTCCTCTGACTCACTTGCTTTCTGCTCACCGCGTCGGGCTCAGCAGCAGAGCTGAACCTTCCCGGGGGCAGGACTGTCATCTGCAATAGAGTCACCTCTGAACTCGGGACGGCTCAGCCTCCAGGAACTGCCAAAATAGCGATGAAAATAAGAAAGAGTCCCTGGCCCGAGGAGTTTGCCCTCCAAACAGATGGGACGGCGGCGGGGCGAGGCAGGGGGATATTTTTAGCTCTGGTTGCAGATGGGGAAGTCCAGCACGGCACAGACATGGCATCGGCACGGCAGCCCCACCACTGCCCGTGCAGCTCACTGTGTCTTGGGCCACCCACCTCCGTGTGCACTCCCAGGTATTAACGGGATTTAAACGGGATGTTGCCTGCTCACTTCCCGAGCCTCAGGCATCACCTTCCAGGCTGGATCACACCACCACAGCTCCTCATGGCAGCTCACCACCACTGGGCTGTCGGGGGCACCCAGTGGGGCAGCAGCGGTCCAGTGAAGTGGAGTTGATGCCAGCAACCCACATTCCTCCCCTCTGTCCTCTCTGTTCCCAAAACAGCCATGGCCCTGCAATCCATCACACAGGAGGGGCACCATGCAGCACACAGTGACGGGTCCCTCCCAGCATGCTCCAAGTGATGCCAACCTGACCCTGGGAAGCGCTCTGGCTTGGGAAAAAAGAGGGAAAATCAATTTCTGCCCCTCACCACAGACCCTTTCTTAGATTTAAATGGCTCGCCCAGGGTCCCAGCGAAAGAGCCCATAGCTGAGCCCTCCACACCTCCTCCGAGCCCTCCTGTTCCCCCAGGATGAGCCAGGCAGCATCTCCCCCCCGTCCTCTCTCCCTGAGCCAGGGCCTGCACCAGCATTGACACCTCCCTGCCAGGCAGCTGCCGGCACTGGCTCCCGGCACGCGCCAGCACCGCGGCAGCTGGGTCCCACTCCCGTACTTTTCGTCCGACACTTTCGGCTTTGTTCTCTCTCGCACAAAGCCGCTGTGAGGCTGCCCTGGCAGCACGGAGGGACCTTGAAGTGGATGTGGTTTATGACCATATTTAGGCTCCTTTACGTTGCCAGAGTCGCAGTAAAGGGCCGCAGCATTAAATGAGACTCAGACCCACTTGTTTCACTTGGCAGCCTGGGAAAAAATCCACCCCGGGTGACTCCAGCACCGTCCCTGCCTCCGCCCTGCCCGCTCGGGGACAGCACGAAATAGCAACAGCCCTTTCCAGCTCCGCAGTTACACTTCCCAGGCACAGCCAAGAGCCCCACAGCAGTGAGGAGGGGGAAATTAAACCCATTAACCACCACCCCCCTCCGAGAGCAACACCAAAGCACCGGGAAGCAAAGGGACAAGCCCAAGGTCACAGACTGACAAAACTGGCACTCCCCAAGGTTCCCAGAGCCCCCCAGCAGGACTGAGCACACGCAGGGATGTGACCACTCGGCACAAGGAGCCCCCAAGCCGCTTTGTGCCCTGGGGAGAGCCAGGGCAGGAGGGGAAGCACCGAGCCAGCTGACACAGGAGCTAATGCCCCTTCAACTTGAGCACGTTAAATCCCTGCCATGGCAGAGGCACTGGCGAAACCTGAGCAGCAGCCCCACTGCTGCGGGGACATCGGCCACCTGCTCCGAGCCAGCACAAGTGCGGATGCCTCAGCCTGGCAAAGCCACGACAACTGCAGGGGCTGAAGGACAAGGTGGTGTGGGAGGAAAGGAGAAGCCGTGAGGCCCGTCCAGAGGTCTGTGACCTTCAGGAGCCCATGACAGCAATCCCGAGGGCAGGGCAGGCAGCTCGCTTTGAGTTCCCAAGGACACGGGCAGCCCCAGCACTCCCAGGCCAGGGCCACCAGCACCAAATTGGCCTAGGGAAGGAAAGAACATACACAGAATAACCCTTACCTACACCCAAAACCCGCAGCCTTGCCTGGTGAGCATCCCCATCGCACTGAGGTCGGCAAAGCCCTGTCCCTGCGGGCAGCAAGGATTCAGGTTGGCTGTCCTGGGACAGTGCTTTGAGAATACCCACCTTGGTGGAGCAGCACCAACCCGAAAACCCACGTGTGGCCACAAGCACTGTGGGAGAAAGGGCTTTGGAGGGGCAAGATCAGGCCTTCCCTGGAAGGCAGACAGACAGAGGCGCTGAGCCAAAGTGCCCGGGGAATTTGCACCAGCACCGGTGCCGGTGTGGCTGCCCAGACCCCTCCCCTCAGCAGGGGGGAGTCACCGGCCAAAACCCTGTGGCAGCTCCGACAGCCGGGGAGGATAAGGGGAGTAGGGGTCATCCCAGCTGGTGGCCATGCAGAGCCGGAGGTGCCATGGGGCTCCGGGGGTGCAGGGGGAAGAGGGGAGCAAGCACACACGTGTGTCTCACTGACCGTGTGCCGCTCTCGTGCGCAAGGCGGGGGGAGGAGAGGAGGAAAGGAAAACAAATAAAAAAAATGAAAGCCAATGACAAAGCCAAAGGGGTCTGGGAGCTGCAGGGAAGGGATAAGCCGCGGGCAAACAGGCGTCAGGGATGCCGAACAGCCGCAGATGCCGGACGCCCTGTCACTGCATCCTTGTCCCGGCATCGCTGGCCCCTCGCACCGCCGAGCCAAGGAAGCTTTCGCCGCCCCGGGGAGGCCGCGGGGGCAGTGCTGGGGTTTGGCCCCCACCACAGCACCCCGCTCCGGCCGCTGCGGGATGGAGCCGCGGCACGGAGCCCCCCCCGCACAAACAATCCCAGCTGTCGGGCTCCAGAGCCGGCGCACGGCCAAGGCATGGACGCTCCTGGGACTCGATTTACCGCCGGCTCTCCCCAGAATCTGCTCTTGCCAATCAAACCGCAGCCCACACCGGCACCTCGAGCCTCACCGGCGGGTCCCCCCGCAGCTCCCCCGTGTCATCACCCCACGGGAAGGCAGCCCCCAGCCCCCGAAAGCCGCCGGGCCCTGCTTCTCCCCGGGTCCTGCCAGGCCGCGGCGGGTCCCGCTCGGGGGTGGCCGCGGTGTCGCGGGTGGGCTCGTGGGCCGCCACCACGGATATCCCACGGGGACGCAGCCCACCGCCCCGGGGCGGGGTGGGCACCGCCAGTGCTGCCCCCTCCCCATCGGCAGCACCCGGTGGGACCATCCCGGCGCGTTGCGCCCGGCCACCGCATCCCCCCGTGTCCCGCATCCCTCCGTGTCCCGCATCCCTCCGTGTCCCGCACCCCCCTCACCTGTCCCCGCAGCGCCCGGGCCGAGCCGCCACCTCTTCCCCTTCCTCCCGCTCCCTCCTTCACCTCTGCACCATTTTGGTGACGGTTTGTTTTGAAGCGGCGGGGGGAGGAGGCAGGAGGGGGCGCGGGGAGGATGTGCCGCTGCCGCCGCCGCCGCTCCCGCCCCTGCCCATCCCCGCCGCCTCGGGGCGGCACCGCGCGGCGCGGGGTCGCGGGGGTCTCTCCGCTTCCCCCACCCCCAAACACCGACAGCCCCCCGCCCCGACCCCCAACCCCGAAGGCTGCCCGGGAGAGGAAGGGAGGAGGCGTTCTCGGAAGTAGCGCCAGAATCGCGAAACGTAAAAAAAAAATCAAAGATAATTAAAAAGAACAATTAAAAAAAAAGAAAAAAGAAACAAAACAAAAAATAAACAAACCAAACGGGGCGAAGAAGAGCGGGAGGGACCCACCTGAGCGGGGCGCGGACCGGCCGCTGCCGGGGCTGCGGCGGAGCCGGCGGGGAGCGACCATGGCCGGGCCCGGCCCAGCGTCAGGGGCGGCGGCGGCGGCGCGGGCGGCCAATGGCCGCGGGGGGGCGACCGGGAGGGGGCCGGGAGGGGACCGAGAGGGCCGGGGCCAAGGGGCGGCAGAGCCGGGACCTCCCCTCTCCCCCGCAGGGTCTGGCGCGCCCCCCCTTTACCCCCCCCATGTCGGTGGTCGAGGGGGGTCCAGCCCAACCCCGAGGCCGAGGCAGCCGCCCCGGGGTGGTTGGGGGACAGGGGGTTCTGCCCCTGCTTCCTTCCATAAGGGGGTCAGGGTCAGGGCGGTGGGGCTCTGGGGTCCGAGGGTCCAGAAAGCCACACTGAGGACATCGGCTGCCCGTGAAGGTCCCAGTTCTGCTGCCAGGATGCTGGATCTGGCATTTAGAGGCAGTGGAAGGTCCCGGTTCAGTGTCTGGCACCAGCACAGACCCCTCGTGGGTATGACCCTGCCCGTTGTGCCCTGACACAGGCCAGGGGCTGTTCCTGTCTCTGGCATCCCCCCTGCGCAGGACTCCGGGGGCTCCCAGGGCTCCTGGGGCTCCCAGCCCTGCCCTGGCCCTTCCTGCAGTGCCACAGCCTCAGCCGAGCACACGGCACCATCACTGGGGTGGCTCCATGTGCTCCTTGGTGGCAGGGCCACAGCTCCCAGGCCCTGCTACAAGTCGGGACACTACATTCCCAGCTCCTCCAGTAGCTGCAACCCAGATAAATTGCTGTGTGCTACCCTCAAGAAATCCAAGGGGTCAAACAGTGACCCCCACCTCCATGCCAGGACAGTTTGGGGCTGTGGATTGGGGCAGGACTCTGGGTTTTAGGGTGTGCTGTCCCTGTCTTGCTGCCATGTCTGGTGCTGTGCATCCACAGCCTCAGGACAGTGCTGGCAGTGGGCACCAGCACCCTCGGGGCTGGGGGTGTGGATGGATCTGATGGCTGGTGGGCTGCAGACCTCCCGCCTGCACCCCATGTCTGCAAGAGGGGCACAGCAGGAGCTGGTGTTCCCACCGGATGAGCTCTCCCACCACCGGGAATGCCAGAGGAGTGCCGTATGGCACAGCTGGGGCTCAGCATGGGGCACAGGCTTTCCTTTCCCAGGGCCACACGTGGCATGGCAGGCCTGGGCGGGCTCCCACGTGCTGCACAGAGCAGTAAAAATAAAAATGAGGCTGGCGTGGGACTGCTCCCAGTGGAAAAAAGCTTGTGCCAGGGGTCAGAGCCTCCACGGGAGATGTTTCATGGATCCCCCTGACCGGTGGAATGCAGCCCACCTTCCCATCCCAGCATCAAGGAGCCAGCACGAGTCCAGTGGGACTCCAGTGCCCCTCCCATAAGTCAGGGATACCAAGTGATGACTCTATCACATACAAGGCCACTGTCCCAGCACAGTGGGGGACTGGGGACCAGTGACAAGGATGTCTAAGTCCTTTTGGGTCACATTCAGCTGGAGCACGGGGGAATACAGGCACTCCCAGTGTCCTTGGAGCACAAAACCAGATGCAGGGGAGCTGCTGGGGATGGGGGCCGAGTCACTGCATTTTCACCCAGACGATGCCCATAGCCATTAACACAGCACCACATGGTCTTCCCGCGCCAGCCCCCACGGCACAGGGCACTGCACAAGCCCAAAACACCCAATTCCCTCCCCAAAGGCCTGGGGTGACACAGGATGGGGTTGGGGTGTACTCCCATAGGGACTTTTCGTCACACTGGCTCTGCCCTGAGCCCCATCCCAGGCCGGGAGGGCAGGAAGAGGTTCCCTGATGCCGGTGACTCAGCTGAGGGGGTTGTTTTGCAACACGCTGGGTGTGGGAGGCTCCTGGTGCGTGGAAAGTAGGCGGAAAATTATCCGAATTATTCGAGGTGTGTGGGCAGGGAGCAGGTCGGGAGGTGATGGACCTGCAGCCCGAAGCTGGGGAGAGGGTCCTGCTCCAGAACTCTCAGCGGGACAGCAGGTGCTGAGGGCCAGGATGGTGACTCTGGGATGAGCTTCCTCATGACCTGGTGCCTCTGCACCTTCCCCACAATGATCTGGGGCAAACAAAACAAAGGCACAAATATCTCCATTAGGGAAAGAGGTAAAGATGGTCCTGATGGAGAGGCTGGATCCAACCGAGCATCACCGGTGGCACGGGCACCTCAGTGTCCACCACCCCTCTGACTCACTGACACAGTTTCCTGCTGGCTCCTTCCCCCATCCCGATGCATATTTCTAGTGGACTTTTCAGTGTGTTTGGCTTTTTGGGGCTGTTTGTTGTCAGTTAGTTATTTTATTATATTTATTGTTAGAAATAGGGTTATTTTTAGCACGCTGTTGGTTTAGATAGAGATGGGATTAGTCATCTCACCAAGAGCTGTTTGCAGTCTCTCCTCAAGGATTCTCTGGGGTTTGTTTTCCAATCAACTGAGATCATGTATCCAAAGAAATAAAAAATAAAAATAGTCAGAATAACGCGCAGCAGCCACACTCTGGTGCCTCTCCATGAGTTACGGGATGGAAATGAGGGGAAGGATCCAACCCAGGATATTTATGAGACAAAGACAAGAACATTACTATGAACCTCAAAGTATTTTGGAAAGTCAGTTTGAGCTGGTTGTTTTTTTTTTTTTGGTCTCTTGGGAACTGAATGCTGAGTAACTCCCTTCCCACACCAGGCTGCTGCTCCGTACAGCTGGTGCGCAGCCTCTTGACAGTGGAAACTGCTTTCCCTTGCCCTTATGCCAGCGTGAAGAAGGCAGGACTCCTGGGTCTTCTGAGATATGCAGCCACCTACACGCTCAGGCTATTAAAATAAAACCATAAAAGACACCCAAAAACATGAAGTGGGAAAAATATTTGTTCCTCTCCCGTACTGAGCCCAGGGACGGGAGCGGGGTGAGGGCTGGGGGCAAAGCCAAGAGGCTGAGAGCAGCGTCCTGTGCATGGAGCGGCACCTCCACCCTCCTTGCCGCGACTTTCTGTCTCTCCCTGCTGCCGTTCCTCCTTCTGAGCCAAGCAGGAGCAGAGCTCCCATGCCAGTTTTGGGGAGACCAGTTTGGCTCTTAAAGATCGGAGCTGGAGGAACCAAAGTTCGTGGCTCATCTCATCACTTGCTGGTGTGGAAGTGCCACTGCCAGCTCGTCCCCGTCAGTGCTGATGCCCTTGGGATGCAGAGCTGAAAATGAGAGAGGGGATGGGGGTCCTGTCAGCCCCACATCAGCTGGACCCTGGCGTGGGGTGGGGGCGATACCCTCAGTGGTCACACAGCCCGTCGTTGGGGGCGGGGAGAGGAGGGTCAATCCTGTGAGAGGCACAGGGTCAATCCCAACTCTCCAGCCCCGAGCCGAGGGACAGCCCCGATGACCCTCAGGGTCCCTGCCAGCCCTGTCGCTGCCGCTCCCGTGACCCCTGTGCCCGTGCCGGGGTGACATGCCCAGGGCACAGCGCAGCACACTCGCTGCACGCCCGACCCGCAGGAGGACAAGGGTGGCACACGTGTGGTGATGAGACCGGGGGGGCCGTGCGGGCGGGGAGGAAGCATCGCCTTCACGTGGCCCCCCCAGCATCCCCCCCGCCGCCCACCCCGGCTCGGGCGCGGGAGGAGGATTATTTGCCCTCGCAGCTGGCGGAGGCCCCAGCATATGCCCGGGGCGGGGAGGAGGGGAGGACAAACTGCACGGAGCGCTGTTCCTGGGTGACCCTGCCAGGCTGGGCGTGGGGTCCCTTCTTGCCCCGGCCGTGCGCCCCCGCCGGCCCCCCGCTCCTGCAAACGCTCCCTTTCCTCCCTGTCCCCCCCCCTCCCCTTCCTCTCCAAGTCTAAATTCTCCCACAGCGTCCATTGACGTCCTGCCTGCGTCACCGTCTCCAGCACAACCAGACAGCACGTGGGAGAGGCAGGTTAAAGCGGCAGGGCCCTGGGAGGGCTCCAGCTGCGCACCCCAACAAGCGGGGCTGCGTGGGGAGGGGGCGCGGGTGGAGGTGGGGGGGGGGCCTGCCCCGGTGAACTCCCCCCACCCAAACGGCACCGGGGTGCTGGTGCTGCCGGGAGGTGTTTCTTGCCTCACCCCCGGGGGGAAGCAGCTCAGGTTGGGGGGAGATGAGGTTTGGTTTTTTTTCTCTCCCGTCGTCGCAAGGCTTGCATGGGAGCGTGAACGCATTTTGCTTCCAGGTCCATGCCCACATCGTCCTTTCCTCCCTGCCGCGCTCCAAACCCACCCCAAATGGGGATCAGCAGCTCTGGCGGCCAGGGAAGGCAGCTTGCATTAGATGTGTGAGCTCCCCGAGCCTGCTCCCAAAGCCGGAGCCAGACTCCCGGGGTTTTTTCCCGGCTGCCGGGCCCCCAGCCAGTCCTTGTGCCTTTACATCTGGGCTTTGCCTTTGCCCGAATTACGGTGCAGCTTGGCTGGGTGCTGGGGCTGGGAACAGGGTTTGCACGCAGGGGGAAGCACCAGAGCTCTACCAGGGCATGGGAGGCAGCGAGTTTTGCAAGGGCTCAGGTGTGGGGTGCAGTGAGTTTTGCAAGGCCTCAGGCACCTTCCCTGAAGCCCACTTGTCATTTCTGCTCTGGGACATCATCTGACAGCTCCAACTCTGCAGGACATCCCCTTCCCCCCGACTCAGGGTGTCG